GATTTTGGCGACAGGAATAAGGGGATTTTCTAAAAATAGTAATGTTTAAAAAAAATTCAAAACTAGCATCCAACCCCGAAAAATTCCAAAACTAGCACCATTTCCCAAAAAAAAAAATCATAACCTAGATGGAAGCTTCAAACGAACGTATTTTTGTGTTCAGGTATCCGATCGTCGTGATTTTTTTTTTATTCGCATAACTTTTCTACATCTTACAAGCCGTAAACAGCCGAAGGTGGTTTGGTCCTGCCTTCGTCCCGAAAAAATGTCGTTTGCTACCCCAATGAGTTTTTTTCCGATTTTCATCAAACTTTGGACGGCCATAACTTTATCCTCCAAAATCCGAACGTCTTGAATTTTTTTTTTTTCATTTTGCATAACTTTTTATCATAGACATAATTTCTAAATGTACGTGGATTTGTGAAAAGGGAAGGTAAGCTATTCCCAAAACCCTGTATATCAAAAAATAATTCATGTTTTGAAAATTCATTCCTAGTAAAAATTGTAGTCCTTAAAAAAGTTATGCAAAATGAAAAAAATTCATGACGTTCGGATTTTGGAGCACAAAGTTATAGTTGTTTAAAGTTATTGAGGATTTTTAGCGTTCAAGGAGTAAAACTTTGTCAATATATTATTATTTCAAGAGAAGAGTTGTAGTTGAGTGGCATATTTGTTGTGCTAAATTTAGTAAACTATTTATCATCCGAGTTCAAACAACCACTCCCACAACATGTTGCTTTTTATCTCTAAAAAATAAATAAAAAGTCAAATGGGATGGTGGGGATTCAAACCCAAGACTTCTTGCACACAATAAAGAGCTAAACTAGTTGTATCAAGATCACTTATGACATTTATTTGGGAAAAAATATATATATTATATACCGCAGGGTGGTGGTACGGTTTGAAAGAAAGGGTTTGTTTGGAACGAAATGATTTGTTTGAAGCTTGTTAAGAAAGGTAGAAAGTGAAGTGAATCATGAATGAATGATAGATGACGATAGTAACGCTTAGATTAGAAACCAACCTTTGGATGTTTGTTGTTGATTCTCTTCTATTCTTTCTTCTGAATCCTGGGGATTGCTTGCTGCGTTTTGCAGCTCCTTTCCTTCCTACGCTCCTTATTTGTGTGGATTAAGGAATGGGAAGTAGGAAGTTCGGAAGAGTTCCTCCTCCCATTTTTTGTCTCTCAATTTTTTGTCTGTAAGTTTTGTAAGGTTAAGTAAGTGTGTAAGAAAGAAAAGAAGTGGTGGAAAGATTGTGTTTTTTTCTGTTCTCTTTTGTGCTTCTGTTTCTGTTTATTGGAGAAGAGTAAGGATGAAGAGTTTTAAGGAGGGGAAAGGAGAGTGTAGGAAGAAGAAGATGCAGCCGAAGAAGAAGTTCCTTTTGTTCTCCCGCTCATTTTTTGTCTGTAGGAAGAGGGAAGTGTATGATGCGTGGGGAAGAAGAGTTTCTCCTTTTGTTTTTTCATTTTTTGTCCGTAAGAAAAGTGAAGTGTTTGTGTAACACAAATTAGTATTCCCCTAATTACCCTTCAGGAATTGCATTTATCTCTTTTACACCCACCTATCAACTCATCCAACTCAAACCTCCCATCTCTCTTACCCCGCTCCCCTGCAAATAGGGATGGCAGGGATTGGGTTGGCTCGGGTTTTGCCAAATCCAAATTTATGCGTTTATTCGTGAAAAAAATCTGGGGTAAAATTTATTGGGTTTGAAAAATTCAAACCCAACCCAACTTTATCGTAAAAAATTTACAATAACAAGTTTCTATCAAAATAAAAGTCAAATATCAATCTCTCAATACAAACAGCGGCGGATCCAGAACACAGAAGTGCACTAGGCCGTATTTTATTAGAAAATTAGAATAGTAAAAAAAAAATATGATGATTATAATTTTTTTACAATGTAAATTGTACACGACGGGATTTTAATTTAGCAAATGCATTAATGATGGAGTCCACATCCATACCAATAGTATACACTATTTCAAATAAAATACTTGATCAATCAACTAGAAATCCATTGCTCATTTTGTTGCGCAAATCAATTTTCACATGTTTCGTTGTTGAAAAGGTTCTATTCGTATTAGCTGTTGAAACGAGTAGCATCAACACTAGACAAATCAATCTACTAATCAATTTGCATTGTGTTTCCATCCCTATATCCACCAGCTGCTCTAGTAAATTTTCCAAGGTAACAAACCTCATATATGTTTTAGTCTTTTACGTTTTAAACTTTTTGAATTTTTAGGTTTCATTGTTTTTTTAGACGAATAACCTTTGGGGTTAGAATTTATAAGCTAAATTTAGAGTAGTGATTTTGAATATGTTCATCTGAATTATTTTTCTAATTATACCCAATCTTATTTTAAAATAACAACGACCCGAATATCTAAAATCGAAAAATTCATAAGGCCTATACTAACTATGGATCCAGAGAAGGGCTGGGCCGGGGCCTGGGGTGGCCACCCCCTGGATCCGCCACTGAATACAAATTATCCATATATAAAACATCATTCTAGAAAATTCAAGCAAATTACAAGTTAACCATACAAATTGTTCAACACCAATCTAGAAAACTCAAGAAAATTGAAGCAAATCACAAATTATCCATAAACAATATGATTAATTGAAAGTTTCTTCCTCCTTGTCAATTAAGCTTCTTCACTCTCCACTCGATAATATCAACTTCATTCTAGACAATTAGAAAGAAAAAATTAGACATGTCTCCACAAACATAAAAAAGATTAGTTGTTTAGAATATTAGATATACCGGGGAAATTAATTATATGGGTGTGAGCGGGTGTACCTAAACCCAAACCCAACTCAACCCAACCCGGTGAATAATGAAGGGATTTAAACCAAAACCCGACCCAAAACCCGTCAACACGAGTTTTACCCGCGTTGACTGGATTGAATCGGGTAGGATACCATGAATTTGGATTTTGTTGTCATCCCTACCCGCAAAGCCTCACCAACGACCACCCCATCATTTATCTTGTCATCTTCAACGATAATAGCAGACCAATAGCAGACCCACCTTGCAACAACCATACCCAAGCCGTGACTAGGCCTGTCAATTCGATTTTGGGTTTTCGGTTTAACCTGAACCCAAACCGATATATTACAGTGTCGGTTTCGGTTTTTTCGGGTTCAACCCGACACACACTGCAGCAGTTTCGCTTTACCAAAACCCGCAAAACCGAAAAACCCGCAAAACCCGATAGCATCAGTCACGCACACGCCGTTGTTTTGACTTTTGATAGCAACCCTACCCTAGCCTTCAGCCCTTCACCTCATGCCGTCGTCGTCTCTTCGCTTGGTTCCATTCCATCTTTCCGAAACAGAGCGAGACGAAACAAAGCCTCCTCGCCGCGCCGCCATCATCGTCCTTGCCGCCAGACTGCCATCAAATCCGTCGCCGCCCGCCATCATCGTCCTCGCCGCCAGACTGCCATCAAATCCGTCGCCTCGCCGCCAGACTGCCATCAAATCCGTCGCCGCCCGCCATCATCGTCCTCGCCGCCAGACTGCCATCAAATCCGTCGCCTCGCCGCCAGACTGCCATCAAATCCTTCCCCTGTTATTTTGTTCCTCGTCGGCCACATCTGGGTAACACAAAGATTCAGTGTTCCTCGTCGCTGATCCACCCATCGACGACGAAGAGCCAGAAGCAGACGACAGGGTGCAGAAGTGGAGATTGGAGATTTCACGAGCAACTCCTCTGGGTTCGAATCTTCTGCCTTTGGTCACATCCTAAATCACCGTACAAAACAGAGATGGAATCCCAGTAAGCTTCTCCCTTTGATTGCTTTCTGATTGCTTGTTATTGAGTTGTTTTGGTTGTGGGTTGATTTTCTTTCCTGAATTTTGATTTTGAGGCACCATCGGAAGGATTTGATGCAACTAGATGGTTGTGGATTGTTGGTCAATTTGCTACTTTCTTCTCCGATTTATTGGAATGGTCAATTTGTTGTTTCTGGGTTCCCTTTGCTCCAAAGGGAATGGTCAATTTGCTACTCTCTACCCAGTTGCTACTTTCTTCTCCGATGTATTGGAATGGTCAATTTGTTTTGTTTTTTATTTACGTTGGAAACCCTTTTTGTTAATTGATTGTTTGTGCGCAGAACTTGCTAAGAACTAATGAGAATAAAATAGTATGTTTTATGTTTGTGCATCTCTGTGGAATTGGTGGTGCTTAGTGAGATAAATTATCTGGGTTTGAAGTGGAGCGTGGAAAGAGAATGGTTTGATTGTTGTAATGCAAGAAACGATGTACTGTAATCTTCCCTTTAGTGTAATCTTCTCGATGCAAGTCTTCTGGATTCAAATTGTCTGTCTGTGCAAGGGAAGAGGTCTTTGGTTGGACTGTTTCACTGTAACACCTTAGACTCGGGTTAAATGCACCTCGAACCTCACACGAAATCATGTATTTTCATGGTGAAATTTGTCTAATTTTCATGAATTGAATTTTTGTGGCAAAGCTTTGTTAGTATGTTACTGAGACTAAAAAAAATTTCTTTTGACACATTCGTTAGCAAATCCAAACTTAGAATGGTGAAGCATCTTTCTACCAAAAAAAATGAAGGCTGAACAAAGTAAAGGAGATAGGAAAAACAAACAAGTATGTTTCTTGCTATTAGTGGGTTTTCAAGTTCCCTGCACTGCAACCTGCAGTGTTGCCTATGTATGTGAATCTATATCTTTCACTTTTGCATGGGTTTTGTTCTCCTGACCAATATATTCTTTATCTTTCACTGATGTTGTTGCTGTTTCAACATGAACATACCCCAGGAATTAATGTCACCCCCATAACACTCAACTTTTCATTTTGACAGGGGAAGTGAGGCACCATCGGCTTCTCGTCCTAGACGTGGACGACGCTCTAAGAGTACCAGCATTCCTGCTCCTAGGCCGAAAGTTGAATATCTTGAACAAGCTTTAAAAAAGGTATATGGTGAGAGCAGGGGTAAAGCTTTGGTCGAAGAGGTGAAAGATGAAATGTGTCTTCTGTTTGACCATTACAAGCATAAACTCGGAATTCATGGCAGTTCTCCCGTTGTGATTCAGGAAGATGAGCAAGAACCTAGTGGAAGTGGGGATGGGAAGAAGAAAGGGAAGATTTGGGGCGATTTCAGGAAAATGAAAAGAGATGCCATTCTGAAAGGAACCAGAAAAAGTTCAAAATCTGAGTTTGATAGGTACCTTGAGGAGGAGGAGGATGATGAAGTGGTTACACGAGCATTGGTGGGTTCAGAAGAGGATGAATACAAGTTTGACATCTTGGGATGGTGGTCGCGAAGTGGGATGAAATATCCTACTATTTCTGAGATGGCTAGGCATATTCTTGTTGTTCCTATTTCCACTGTTGCTTCTGAGTCGGCATTCAGCACAGGAGGTCGAGTTTTATATTCGTTTAGGACCTCTTTATCCCCTGAAGTTGTGGAGGCTTTGATTTGTTGTGAAGATTGGATAAGATCTTCAGACTCCGAGTTGGTGGTTGATGGAGAAGATGAGGGTGATGAAGTGGTATTTCAAAATGGTAAGGATTTAATCTTTCTCTTTATTCTTATATTTGTTATCTTGATCAAGTCATATTCTAACAAGTTGTTATTATTTATGTTATCTAGTATATGCAGCTTTTCAAGCTCGAAGTGTAGCTCTCGTGCAGGACCTAGTGGAAGCTCTCCTGCTACCCATGTTTTGGTCTCGAGTCCTACTATGTCACAAGTGGAAGAAGACTATGTCGACAACAATTCCAATGAGAATGATGAGACTTATGTAGATGTAGAGCCTGATGAGGAGTGATAATGGTAGTAGTATTTACTATTTATCTTGTATGGTGGATGAATTTTTATTTTACTTGGATGTTATCATTTGAGAATTGTAAAACTAATGTGTTTAATTACGAGTTGAAGATAATCTCATCTATGATTGTCGGTATTTTATGTTGAACAAAATTATTTATAATTTTGTGCCAAACACCAAACATTTTTTTGCATATGATAGTACCTTCAATTTTGGACCTATGGTATTACTAAAACATTTAATTATATGAAAATTCACAATTAAATGGCCCAAAAGGTTGTATTACTTAACATAGCAATACATAAAATTATAATAGTATGTCTATAGTTATAGAATACATAAAATTAATTATTTTAATAATTAACTAATAAGAATAAAATTGTTTGTACAAACAAAAGAATGTACAAATAATAAGAATAATATTTTAATAATTAACTAATAAGAATAAAATAATATGTTTTATGTTTAAGAATGTATAATAATAAGAATAAAATTGTTTGTAAAAAAAAGAATATAAAATTCAAATTACAAAAGTATTAAAAAAAATTCAAACCGGTTCGGTTTCGGGTTCAACCGAACCGAACCAAAACCACCAGTGCATTTTTCGGGTTCCTGTACCCGCAACCCGCAAAACACAGGTCCGGTTTCGGTTTCGGGTTTGTGGGAGCCGGTTTTCGATTTTTGGTTTTTTGCGGTTTTCGGGTTCGGTTACCCGAACTGAACCGACAGGCCTAGCCGTGACAAATGAACTGGCCAAATTAATGGTGGAGGGAGTGAAGTGGTAAAACTTAGGCACGAAGGAGGAGCAAGAAGTGACGACCATAGAGGGAACTCGTCATGGTGATCCTTATATCTTCTTTTCTTGTGATTTCTTCTGTAATCATGAATAGCCAAACTCTAGATTGTTCATATCATCATGTAAAACCTAGGTAGGTGGATTGATTTTGTTATATGAATAAATTGATTTTAGCATAAGTTCTTGTTAATGATAACGTATTAGGCAAGAGTTGCATCACCTCGTGGTACAACTCTTGAAATTCAATTTCTAGAAGGGTGAGATCCCAAATGACCACCTCCTAATGGATCATCAATCTATTAAACTGCGCGTCACCTAAATGAAGAAATTATAGGATTTTTGTTGCTTATTAGTTCGTGTAAAAGTCGCGACATAAGGTAGGAGGAACTCCATACAATTTCAGTGAATTTGAGTGATTACTATATGAATAGCCCTTGTGTATTCAGTGAATTTGGTTTTACACTACAATGTGATCATTAAGCACAGTAGTAAGTCACGTGCACAAAAAAAAAAATAATTGCCCCGTCGCTGGGAAACTTCAGGTTATTTCATACCACAAGACGTAGAAGAAGATCTTCATCATTTGGAAATTGAGGTGAAGGAAGAAGACAAGGATCCCAAAAGCAACAAACAACATTGGAACAATAATGGTGATGAAGAAATCAATGGAAACTGATACGAACCACGGAACCGGTGCACGTAGTTATCAAATTTGTACAGATAAGATTAGGGGTTATGATCAAGGATAAAATGGAATTGAAGTGAAATCTCACACCTGGGAGAAGGCTCTATCAATATAGGGTAGAGGTTTGACCACAATCAAGGGGAATACTCTATTGATACAAAGCACAATTCACAAGCTAAAAGCTCAATGAACCAAGAATAAACTCAATAATATTGAAAGTCTGCCAAAAACTCGGTCTAAGCCTTTAAACAGGACAAAGAAACCAAAAATAGTTAAAACTCAAAAAGAATAAAGAATTATAAACACAAAAGATAATTCCAGCTCGTCAGCCTCAATCCCATGTCGTGTGTCCTCAGATCCCCTATCGGGCATTGTAAGTCCTCATGACCAGGAGCCCTCCTGTTTGTACTCCCTGATCACCTCCTCATGATCCCCGATCGGGGAATTTGGTCCTCCTAGCCGGGGAATCACATTGAAAACTCACCTCTATGGCCTATGGTCATGGGATTCTACACTCGTCCCTGTGCTATTGAAATAAATACAAGCATTAGGCATCATACTATCTCGTCAACAACTTTGACTTCAAAAACTAGCATGATCTCAATGATCCAACAGTTGCGCCGATTCCAATGTCCAAGGAATAGACCCACACGAGCATATACAGAATTTCTTAGAACCCATCTATGGGTTGAAGATCAATGGTGTGCTTCAAGAGGCAATCTGGTTGCGACTATTCCATTTCTCCTTGAGAGACTTGGCAAAGAATTGGCTCAACAGTCATTAAGCTAACTCCATCACTTCATGAAAGGAAATAGTGGAGAAATTTCTTGAATGGATACTTGCACCCTTCCAAGACGGCTAAGTTGAGTGAAATCACTAATTCACTATCCTTTAGTCAAGATGATGGTGAACCATTGCATGAAGCTTGAGAAAAATTTGCTATTTTGCTACCTTGATCCTTTATGTGTTCTCACTTCTCACCATAGGTACATACATGTGAGATTTTTAACATCAACAGAGACAAGTGAAGTGGCTCGCTTACTAGTATACGTCTATTCAAATGAGGCTAAATCTCCTCCAGTTTATACTCCCCAATGAAACGGCCAAACAATGGGTGCTCAAGCAATCACCCTGGGTTATTTCCGATAAAATCTTGCACCTCCGTCCTTGGATTCCAAACATAACGCAGCGCACCTTCGACGAGCTTGCTATTGCGATGTTTCGGATCCAGCTGTGGGATGTCCAGGAGGAGTGTTGTACTCAACGTTTTGGCCGGACTGTGGCGAGCGCTACGCTCGGTCGCGTCTTGGAGGCGGGGGTGTACTCGTGCGCTGATTCGGGTCACCGATTTATAAAGATCAAGGCTCTGATAGACTTCTCAAAACCTCTTCGATCCCAAGTGATGGCAACTAATGAAGAGACAGGCGAATTCTGGATTCGACTTAAGTACGAATATCTCCCCAGTTTTTTTTATAGGTGCGGCCGGGTTGGGCACTTACGCCAAGATTGCTCCTTCGATCCTCCCACTCGAAGAGAGAGGTTTGGCCATCATATGTCGACCAAGAAATTGGGTAGGAGGGTCTTTGAGGAGGAGGAAAGCGTGACAGCCTTCCATGGCAATCCCAAATCTGTTTGGGTTAATACTGCTGCTCAAGATCGTCGGGTTGCACCAGCTGGGCTTCCGCGACCATCGGAGAACAAGAACAGGAGGGAGGCTGAGATTATGCCGAGGCCTGTGATCGAAGAGAAGCCGTTGTGGATGGGAACCTCGACCCAGCCCTTCTTGACGACTGAAGCACGGAATCAAGTGGGGAGGAATCCGATTCGTGTCTCGATCACGAAATCTCCGAATATCCGCTTGGGGAGGCAAGGTCGTCGAGGCAAGTTGAGGAAGGCGAGCGAGAGTGCTCCTATGGAAGTGTTGCAACGGAATGTTGAGCCGCAGTTGACGCGACGGCGCCGTCTTATTTTGGAAGAAGAATCTGAAGACGAGTTCCATGTCCAAACTATCCCGAGCCCCTCGCTGGCATGCCCTTTGAACGAGGCCATTCGGGTTGCTAAGACTGCAGCCCTAGCTAATAATGCTGGCGGCGCTCCTTCCCCCGTGCCAAACCCTGGGTCTATTAAAAAAAAAGGGAGAAAGGTGAAGGGCGCGTGTTCTCCAAATAAAGCTTCAAGGAAGGCGAAACCCAATGCCCTGAAGTCACGCAAGATTCGGCGTGTCATTGTCTCAATCGCCAGCTCCAAAAATGCTGGGCCGAAGCGGGTCGAGGTGTTGGCGGCGGATTCGCCAGCTCTGGTGGAGCCCGTGGACCGCCAACCCGCCGTAGCAATCCAAAAGGGGGTGGAATCTGAGGAGTCATTTTCAGGTGCTGATGACCAATCCTTTGAGATTCACCGCCGGGAGACGCTGGGGAAGGGAAAATTTAAGCGGTTGGCTCACTCATCCCTTGTGCGTCAGGTTGTGGAGGCATTTGAGGCTGGGCTCACCATGAGTGATCCAACCAATGAGCAAGGGTTACAATGCCCACTCACTTTGGAGGACATGGCGGCGGATAAGGGAGTGCCAAAAGAAGACGATCTTATTGACAAGTCCTTTAACAAATACGGCTCCAACTTAGGCGACCTAGAAGGGGAGAGTAAGAAACGTCGGATTAATGAGGTTGATGGAGATATCGCTGACTCCCCATCACCAAAAAAACTGTTTGTGGAAGACAAAGATGAACTGGAAATGGTGGAGGTAGCCAGCCGGGATTGGCCCCATCCAGATAAATGAGGCTTCTGGCCTGGAATGTGACAGGAATTGGAACATCCCTCACATTTCAAACTGCTGTCGGTTTAGTTCATTCCAATAAATCGGATCTCATATTTTTTTCGGAAACACGATCGAGCCGGAGAGTAGTTGCCCGTCGTATGCTGGGCTTAGGCTTTGATTCTCCTTGTTGTTTTTTTGTGGATGCAGTTGATGCATCTGGAGGTTTAGTTGTAGCTTGGTCCCCGGGGGTTGATGCCTCGATTTTTTTCCATTCCAATTTCTGTATTTGTGTTCGAATCAATGAAAATGATTTCTCGTATGTGGTGATCTTGGTTTATATGAGTTGTAATGGGGCGATTCGTACTTCCCAATTGGACCAACTGCTTGACATCTGTGCGGATATCCATCTCCCCTATGTGATCATGGGAGACTTTAATGTTACTCTTAAGTCGGGGGAAAAAGATGGTGGGCTCCCTTTGAATGCGGCTCACGCCCTAAGCCTTCGTGAGTTTGTTAAAAACCTGGGCCTTCATGACCCAGGCTTTCTTGGAGACCAGTTTACTTGGACAAATAAACGAATGGGTATGGCATGTATTCGCGCTAGATTAGATAGAGCTTTATGCTCTCAGAAGTGGGTGGATCAGTTCCCTGAAACCCAAGTAAAGCATTTTACTGACCAAGGTTCTGACCATCGAGCCCTTCTCCTATCTAACAAACCTTATGCCCGTAATAGTGGAGCGTTGTTCCGCTTTGACGTCCGATGGGCTGATAATCCGGAGGTGAGGGCTATGGTGCAATATGTCTGGCAGGAGGAGATCCAAGGCAGTCCGATGTTTCGATTGTGGGAGCGCTTAAAAAAAACTCCGTCATTTGTTGTATGATTGGAGCAGGGCTGGCACTACTAATTCGTTAAGGAACATCCGAACCCTCCAAGCTGAAATTGATCGGATTAAATTACTCCACCCAATTGACTGGGAGGAGGTACGGCGGTTGGAAATCGAATTAAGTAGGCAGTGGGAGCCGGAGGAAGTTTATTGGCAACAGAAATCTCGAGTTAACTGGTTGAAAAAAAGGAGATAAGAATACGGCTTATTTTCATACGGTCACCAGAGCTCGGAGGAAGCGTAATTTTGTGGCCGGCCTGCGGAGTGAGGAAGGTGAATGGGTAACTACAGAGAATGGGAAGGCTACCATTGCCAATACTTTTTACCAAACTCTGTTCACCTCGGAGAATAATGTGTCGGATATCTTGGATCGAGTGACCTCTCTCCCCATTTCTCACTGTATGCCAGCGATGAACGTTGGCCTCACAGCGGAAGTCCTCCCTCAGGAAATTCGGGATACGGTATTCTCAATGGGCACTAAACAGGCCCCAGGCTCTGATGGTTTCACAGGGAAATTTTTTAAGGCCTTTTGGGACATTGTGGGGAATTCAGTAATTGAGGCAGTTACCTCATTCTTTGTGACGAGTAAAATGCTCCGAAGTTTTAATCATATCTGGCTTACTCTGATCCCCAAGGTGGACAATGTGGAGTCTATGAGGCAGTTGCGACCTATTAGCCTATGCCAATTTGTGTACAAAATTATTACCAAAATCATGGCTGGGCGTTTGGCTGCTATTCTGCCTCAAATCATCTCCGAGGGTAAAAACGCCTTCATCCGGGAACGACAAATAGTAGAAAATATCCTTCTCGGACATGAATTGATGCATTACTTGAAAATCAAAACGCGAGGTAAGAAAGGGTACATGGCTCTAAAGGTTGACATGGAAAAAGCCTATGATAGAGTCGAATGGCCGTTTCTTCTTGCGGTTTTAGACAAGATGGGTTTCAATTCAGTTTGGCAAGGATGGATCCATGAATGCGTACATTCCACCTCGTTCTCGGTTCTGATGAATGGAACCCCATCTGGATACTTCTCCCCTTCCAGGGGGCTTAGACAAGGGGACTCTCTATCGCCATTACTATTCGTTATTTGCACGGAGGGGTTTGCTGGGCTCTTGCGTAAGGCCATTTCCAAGAAAAAGTTACAAGGCGTCAAGGTGGCCCCTCGTGTTCCCAGGATTTCTCATTTATTCTTTGCTAATGATTCTTTTCTGTTTCTGCGTGGTTCTCTCCAGGAATGTGAGAATTTAGTGGAGGTCCTGAATGAGTACGAGGAACTCAGTGGTCAAAAGGTTAACTTGGCTAAATCGGCGGTGTGCTTTAGTAAAAATATTCGTTTGCCGGATCAAGAGTTTTTGGCTCAGATTCTGGGGGTGGGTGCAGTGGGTGTCCATGATAAGTATCTGGGCCTCCCAACGCTCTTCTCTCGTTCCAAAATGGATACCTTCCGGTACTTGGAAGAAAAACTACTTGAGCGACTTCAGGGTTGGAAGCAGAGGACGTTGTCATGGGCAGCAAAGGAGACGCTGATTAAGTCAATTGCCTTAGCGCTACCCTTACATGTTATGTCCTACTTTAAACTTCCCGCGTCTCTTTGCCGGCTCCTCGACAAGCATGTGGCTTGCTTCTGGTGGGGGGCTGTTGAGGGGCAGCCCAGGATCATATGGATATCCTGGCGGAATATGTGCAAAAGTAAGCATGATGGGGGGGGGGGGGGGGATGGGGTTCCGTCGCTTTGAGCAATTCAATCAAGCTTTGTTGGCAAAGATTGGCTGGCAGATTCTCAACGAACCTCAGTCCCTGCTGGCTTAAGTATATAAAGGGAAGTACTTTCCTAATGGGACCTTTCTTAAAGCAACAGCGCGGTCCCGCCCTTCTTGGGGGTGGCAAGGTATCTTATATGGAAGACAATTGCTGGAGAAGGGGCTACGGTGGCAGATTGGGAATGGGAGGACGGCTTCCTTGTTGGAGTCCAACTAGGTTCCTCAATCTCATCCTTGGCCCCTCGTTTCCAATCCTCGGGTGTTGCCGGTAGGAGGGGACCCTAAGGTTGAGGAGGTCATATGTCCGGGTGAAGGGCGTTGGAATGATGTCAAGCTCAGTCAGTGGTTTGACCCGGCCACCTGAGCGGCAATTAAAGCTATTCCCCTTCCTCGGCAAAATGTGGAGGATCGCCTCATTTGGCATAACTCTCCTGATGGCTGTTTCACTGTTAAGTCGGCTTATCACCTTGCGGTTTCTCTTGATAAGCAGCGAGGGCGCTGGCGGTCTTTGGCTAGTTGGATGGATAAGGCCAGTTGGGTTCGACTTTGGGAGGCGAATATTCCGCCAAAGCTCAAAGTATTTGTTTGGCAGTTATTTCATCGGATCCTGCCCACTACGGAGGCCTTGCGGGAGAAGGAGGTTCCGGTGCTCCCTCGATGCCCGGTCTGCTGGGCGGAATCAGAAACAATGGAGCATTTGTTTTTGGACTGCCCGGTGGCGCGAACTTTGTGGGAGTATTCGGGTTTGGATTTCCTGGGAGAAGGGTTGCCGCGCCATACTTTCCCGCTGTTTCTCAAAAAATTACTCTCGCGGGTGAGTGACCCTTCTATGCTCATGGCGGTGGTAGCTATCCTCTGGAGGATTTGGCGTTCCAGAAATTGGGTTGTTTTCGAAGGAAAGCAGTTTGGGATCCCAGTCCTCCTCCGTCAATTCCAGCAACAATATGAGGAGTGGATCCACCTGCCTGTTGAGCCAAATCCCCGGACTTCGCTTTCTGGTCCCCGGGCTCCGAGGTCTGTTCTGGCTGGCTTGGTTGTGTGTTTGTGGGATGGGGCTACTAGTCGAGGGTCGCATTCGGCTGGTGGGTTTGTAATCTTGGATTCGGCTAGGGGGGTTCTCTTTGTACAAGGAACCCGATTCCCGGGTGTGGATGACCCTGCCGTGGTGGAGTTACTGACTCCCAGGGAGGCTTTGTTGGGATGTATAGGCCACGGGTTTGCGGAGGTGAGGTTTGAAGGCGACGCTAAGATTGTCATTGACAAAATCAATCAGAAGGATTCCAGGGATAATCGAATGGGCGCTGTTCTTGAAGAAGTTATTCATTATTTTGCTGCTCATCCTGGGTTTTCGGTTAGATTTGTAGGTCGGAGTAATAATAGGGTAGCCCATATGGTGGCTCGAAAAGCCCTCGCTTTGTATCCGACTACGAGTCGTTTCTTTGATTTTCAGGCCTGGCTAAATTTCAGGATGTAATGTCCGCTTATCTTTTATCAATCAATATGATTATCTTTTGTCCAAAAAAAAATACTAAGACGATTTGCATTTTTTAGGTTTCCTACTTTCATTTATGACGCAATCATTTATGAAGTTGGGGTTGAAAAAAAAATGCAAGTCTGTAGATCGAGTTTCACCCGTTGTTTGTGAAAGCGTATCGTATCGGAGGTCCGAGCAGAAAATTTTTGGTTAACCATGAATCCATCACGGTTTCACACATAATGTCATACCGCTAACATTATTTTTTTACAATCTCCAATAAGATTTTACAATCCATCATTTCAAATCTTTAAAAAAAAAAACCGACAACTTTTTTACAGTTTTACTTGCAGTTTGAAAATTAAAGCCCCTAATAAGTCATTAACTTTTAAATACTAAAGGCAGGGCAAATTTTACGGGATATGCCATGATTCGCATGATGACCTCCAGATTTAAGTCTGCGTGCCAATACATTGGACAACCGCAAAGACGCAGAAAGAAAATACAAACGGGAACTAGTACAGGGCAGACCTTAATCGGCCAGCAAAATAAGTAAAAGAAATCACGGTTCAGAGTTCTTCCTTGAGCTGATGTTTCTTCACAGGGAACCCATTCTTGTCCCAAGCAAGATAACCCCCTCCCATGTTGCAAGCGTGCTTGAAACCCTGCCAGAAAAAAAAAAAACTAAACTTCTTCAGTCTCTCTATCTGGTGCAACAAACTTAGCCACAAAAGTTTCGGTTGTGTATTATCTTATCAGACAATGTTGACAATTTACTTACTGCACTAAGAAGATCAGCAGTTGCAGACAGAGATCTCACTCCACTCTGACACCCCTGCAAAAATGATCAGCAACGCACCAGGGAACTAAAACCACCTCTTCCTTTTGCTATTATTCAATTTGTTGCAGATAATATAGCAAGTTAATGTCAATTTTGTTTACCACGACGAGATGGTCGTCTTGGTTGAAGATCTTCTTGACTCTCTCCAAGAAGTCAGGATTCTTCACTCGGCCTGGACCATCAACACTGTTATGGAGCAGGTTGTTGTATGCACACCGCAGCAAATGAATCAAACAGAAGCGGAATCTAGGACCTTGGGAAGTGTTGAACATGTAAGGAATGTTGTGTATCTTGGTGACCATGCAATCATCAGCGGCGCAGGAACTGGGATCAACTTCTTCAGGCTCAGCTTGGCCTCGCAGCTTCCAGACCTTCATTGCATCAGGATGTGCTGCCCTGAATTCCTCCTCCGTCCTGTTTCCACGGCTCATGGAACTAGTAATGTCAGAAAAAAGAACTTATGGGAAACATTAATCATCAAAAGAAAAACCCTGAGAAATACGAATTACCTGACATCAACGTAGAGATGGCCGGATTCGATGAGAGACTTGGCCTTATGAACATCAACGGTGAGGACTTCTGCTGCTCCTGAACTGTAATAGAGCCAATTGGACAACAAAAGCAACAACCAATACGAACCCCATTGGAGCAGAGAAACAGTGCTCATTTTTGTTCAAGTAACAAGCAGAAAATGGAAAGAGGGTAATTTTATTAAGAGTGAAAACAAAGAAGAAGAAGAAGAAATGATGAACCTTTCCTCCAGTGAACCCATTTGAGACCAACACTAGTAGAGTTCTTATATACCACCCAGAATTAGTCAGAAACTTGGATGGACTTTTGCTCCAAATCCGGTGGCAAAGCCGGCGCCTTCCTTAGCTCCTTTTCCGCCCTGAGAAAACCAGCTGCAGCCTCAAGATTGTTACTGTTTAATCCGGCGGCAATACTACCTGCTTTTGCCTGCTGCTGCTGGTGTTTGATAATCAAGTAGCCTCCAAAAAGAGACAACCAAAAGATAATATTAAATATAGAGAAAAGAAACGAGAACAGACGTGGAATCTGGAGTGGATTGTGGAACTGCATCCAATGGGGACAGGGCAAGCAAGGCGTTTGTTTAGTGAGACAAAAACTGCAACTCAATCTCCACTTACGTTACGTTATATTTGAATTCCTTGTCAGCAGTTTCAACCTTTTTCAGGCCGACTGTGATTGATCATCAGCACGCAAGTATTGTGCTACTTCTAGCTTTCCGAAGCTTCTGGCTAGAGACTGCAATACTGGAGTTATGCACATTTGTGGTGGCGTAGTCCACAAGAGTCGCGATTTAAACCCCGAGTCAGTTTCTTTGTTATCAATAGAGGAAGTAGATAATACAGCATTTGAACGAAACAACAGTTTGCTTGCCAACTTCCCAGGCTGACGAGAAATCCCGATCGTGGGGAGAATTTGATTGCCCTTTGCTCTCATGATCATATCAAATATTATGGGTAAAAAGAAGGCCATAATCATGGTGCACGTAGAGAGAGAGGTGAAGCAAATAGAATATACAAGCGTTTATACAGCAGCTAAAACACATTACAAGACGATACTACACATTTGCAGTTTGTGGAGATGGAGTCCATAACAACAGTTTACAGATATCGCCACTTTGCAGCAGCACCTCCTAGACTTCTTCCTCTTTTGTGATATGCATGTAACAGCATTCTAAGCAAGCTACAGAGGTTATGACTGCCCAAAGATTCTGCCTGAAAAGACAGAGAGAGAGAGAGAGGTTGGCTTCAATAACAATACTTGTAGAAATTAAGTACTTTCTACTGTTTGCTTCAGTTGACAATTATCTCCTATGAATTGAATTAATCAGAAATACATAGATAGTTCTGGGGAAGGTGTTTGCTGCATGTATACCTTAAAGTACAAAGTCCAGCTGAGATCCCCCCGTGTGTTCATCACCTGTTCTGTGGCCGGATTCCCCGCTTGATCTGTCGCGATGAAACAAACAAACATTGATGTCAAGATTCTGTTTAACAAGTAATGAAATGTAACAACATAAATGTCGAACACAGCAAGTCATTACTTTAGTCAATCATATGCTGGTGCATACCCATAACAAAGTATTCAACTAGCTTTCTATACCCAACTGACCACCGCCATTTCAAAGTGAAAATATTCACAAGTTCTTGGAAAAAGGGCGATTCTTTCTTTTATGAAAAGAGGATATTGGCGAACCCCAAATACCAAAGTGCACATCTGAATTAAGAACCAGATTTGCAAATAGTCTCCTCCACTTCAACAGTGAGTGACAAGCACTTACTAGTGCTGGTGTTATTTTATGCTAGTAGATGGTGGAAGAAGCTAATGGAATCTAGAAACGTTATTTGCTGTCTCACCTCAGAATAAGTGAAGTCATTTCTCATATCTAGCTTGCATACTGGACAGAATGTCCCCCACTTGGTCAGCCATGAATTGACACAGCTTGAATGAAACTCTGGAATTCTCGAAAAGTTTGGAGACAGTGGTAATCAGTCATCAACTAGTAACAACACAAGAGCAAACACGCAACTTCCTAAAATTTATGGTTTATCTCAGCAAAACAAAAACCAGTACCGTGTTTGCAAGGCAGAACCTTAAGAACTTCACCATCCTTGTAATCCTCAAGGCAAATCACACAAGTTTCTCCACCGTGGGTCTGCCTGAGATGGCCTGAATGAAAAGTGAAGCATGGCAGAGTCTCCACCGTCTTAGCATCCACACTCCTGCTGTGGAAATTGAGCCGACGCCAGTGCAGCCAATGGCGTGGAGTTACAAGGGCGATCAGAAGGAAAGCCATGATCACAACAAGAGACAGAAATGAGATTGCCAAAACCGTCCAAGCTGTATCGTTCTGAGACGGGTAGATGCAGCATTCGGCTTCCTCCCCACCCACTTGCTCCATCAAAATCTCACCAGTTGCCTTCGAAACAAACACTGCATGTATCTTCACTCGGTCCGGATTCACCATCACTGTCAATACCCCACAAAGAATCAACAGCTATTTGCATTGCCCTAGAAACAGACCCACTGGACATCTAAAACTAAAAGCATGAGGAACAGAACTACCGACTTACTGTATACCAAATTCCTCTTATCCCTATCATCAAACACAATCGCGGCATGAAACCCAGCAAGTTGGGCATTCCGGATTTTCTCCTCGAAAGGACATCCGCCCCTCACAATCAAAGCGAAGCTGATTTTTCCAGTTCTGTTAAACCCTAATTGTCCCCGGAACGGAGAACAAGCGTCAAGAGGACTCGCTGCGTATAGAGCTCCACATATCCCAGAGCTATTCACTCCAGCAGCTGCAGTGAAATCCAATAATCAGGAAGCTGCGTACTATCTCACTTCAAAATTTTCAGTAAGCGGAGATCCCGAGCAGCTAAAGAGGATAGTTTTTTTTTTTTACCGAATTTGGCAGGAAGGTCGGGAAATGACATGAAGAAGGGTTTCAACACCACCATAGCTGAAGTCACAGGGATGCCGAAACAAATGAACAACAGTAAACATATAGCGACGGAACCTTTCATTGCTCTCCGGGAACGACGATCGACGGAACTACCTGTTTCTGGCTAGTGTTTTTTTTTTTCTCAGTTGGGATTTCCCGGCGGGAGAGTCAAACTGGACGAGACGACGGCGCTATTTTGCTGGTGAGAGTATAACTGTTTTCCACCATAAGAAAAGGTTCCGATGCGAATCGTCTTAGATAAACTTGAACGGGAAATGGGCCGAGAGCTGAAGCCCAAGTTCTATGGATCAGTTGAGCTCCATCCAAAATGGGCCTGTTGTTTTATGTTTGCCCTCGCCATCGACTGTCTGGCTCCTCTCTTGGCTGCCACAGACGGCGGGCGACTCTCGTTCTTAGATAGAAGTGATTGCTCCGCCGGCCGATGGCAGAAACGTCCGGGCTTCCTTTGCCGGGACCTTTTCTCGATTTCCTCGAAGCAAACGGGCTTAACCCTGCGATATATACTGCAAGCAACTCCATTCCTCGTTATATACGGTAACTTGTCGGCAGTCCTGCTTCAAAGGGTTTAATCTTTCGTTTTTTCTTTCATGACGTGCGAAAACAATTTCTGGGTAAGGTTGAAGCCTGGGAGTGAATCGCTTACCGAAGAGATTGAAGCTGAGATGCAGTGTAAGCTTGAGAGAGTTGGTTGGTTGCCTGGTTTCTATTCGCTTCCTCCACAAATTCAGATTGCCAGCTCTCAGGCGTACAAAGAGGGAAAGGTAAAAGTTGTCAAATTCAAACATTTTCAAGCGGAATCAGGGATTTCCGGGCACCCCTAGAATTCTCTTTTTTTCTTTTTTTCTTTTGATGATGTTGGAATCATGCCAGATGTATGGAGTCGATGCAGCCTCTGGGGCTGCTGTTCTTGCTTTGGATGTCTCAGTGGGAGATCACGTTCTTGATCTTTGTGCGGCTCCTGGTACGACTCTATATTGCCTCCTTAGTTTTCTTGTCCAGTTCACCGTCTTCTTTTAGTCATACTGCATGTCTTTTCAGGTGCTAAACTTTGTATGATATTGGACCTTCTTGGCGATTCTGGGTCGGTAACTGGTGTTGATGTTGCAAGCCACAGGCTTGCAGCTTGTAGAACCATGATTCAGAAGTATGGAATTGGTGATAGGTGCCGGCTTTTCGTCTCTGATGGGACAAAGTTCTCCCTCATTCCTGTGAAGGGTTGTTGGGATTCTACTTCATGTAAGCAATCTGGGGAAGTGTGTGAAGTTACTACCCTACTTTTCTCATCTTCAAGTGTTAAAGTTTGAGAATGTCATTCTATCAAGTTCAACAGGTCAACCAGAATTGGGGTGGGGACGATGTATTTAAGGAGTGGACATCTAGAAGACCATGGAAAGAGAGGAAAAGAAAAGCTAAAACAAGGAAATCCTCGTCATTGAAAGTAGTTGCGGAAAGCGATCATCTTCCTGAACTGATCTTTTATGGGAGAAATTCTGGAGTTGTTGGGTTGACCAAAAGTGAATTGCATCAATCTCCACCTGATAGTGAAGTCTCGAGCAATGGCTATGACAAAGTAGGAGGATCTCCAGGTCTTTAGTTTCTTGGTCAGATGCTTTGATTCATGACTTTGCCTAATTTGCTTCCAGGTTCTGGTCGATGCAGAATGCACACATGATGGTTCAATTAGACATGTCCAGAAGTTTGAACAATGGGGTTGGGAAACTCTCAACCAACGTGTATTGAATGCCGAGAGAACTGACAACTTGACCACTCTCCAGGTCAGTGTTGCTGGTCCGTGTTGAACTTCAGCATACACAGACCATTATATATGTGGACATGATCCTTATTTCTTCCCCCCTCACATATGACTTGTAATTGTGTCACTGCAGTTAAACCTTCTAAGAAATGGGTTCAGGTTACTGAAAGTCGGTGGATCCCTTGTCTACAGCACTTGCAGGTTTGTTCATAGGCTATTACCGTTGCTCATTACTAAGGAACAATAAAGGTCCTCATTTGCATTCGAGTCATTAACAACTTCTTAATTAGAATCCGGCATTTCCTGTCTGCCAGTTTAACAGTTTGCCAGAATGAAGAAGTGATAATGAGGTTTCTAGCAGAGAATGCTTCTGCTGGTAAATATTGCCACTTGATCCACACTATAGTTCTTGCAGTAGCACCTTCCAAAGTTACATTTCCAAATGAGTGATATGCGCTCTGACTTTTACAGAATTGTTGGAGATCGATGCTGCGAGAGATTGGCCATGCAGGAGTGGAAGCATACCAAAGACCTTGCGCTTTGATCCTGTGGTGTCAAAAACCAGTGGACTGTTTGTAGCCAAGTTCACAAAACTAAGCCCGTAGCAGTTCTTTACTTGATACGCGGACAAGTGCGTTTGTATATTTCACCCTGTGCTTGTTATTTTTAAGATACCTGGAGAATGAGCATTTTCGGTCTCTGTGGATGTTGCAAAGTTGAAAAGGAAACTGGTCTGATGGTTTCTGCAAAGTGATTGAAATGCGAACAATTCCATAACTTAATCCGGCGGTTGAGCTTCCTTTACAGGAACCAATCTCGTCACAACACCCAGCCCCAAGATATCTATCCTATGCCAATGCAGTGGCGGGGGCGAACACTGAAGCGACACAGACAAAATTCTCCTGGCTCCCCATCGGAGAACACGATCTCATCTCAGGAAGTTTCAATGGAGAGCCGGAATTGAGTGTCTCTAGCGGGCTCAGGGAGAAACTATGTGCATCATGGCAACGCACCTTGGTCGTTCGGACGGTAGGATTGAAGCTCTCATACAACACTTTCAACAATAAGATAAAGAGCCTATGGCGTCCGACAGGGTCTCTCGAGATTATGGCGTTGGGGCAAGAGTGCTTCCTTGTTAAACTAAGCAATGATGCTGACTACTTCCGGGCTCTAACGGAGGGCCCCTGGGTCATCTTCGATCACTACCTAGTGGTCTTTCAATGGACCTCGGAATTCCGGCTTTCAGATTCCATGCCAAAGTCCATGGTAGTGTGGGTTCAGTTTCCTGCTTTTCCGGTCCACTTCTATCATAAGGAGATTCTCTTTGCGCTTGGAAACATGCTCGGCCGGGCAATCAAATTGGATTTCCACACACAACATCAACAACGGGCCAAATTCGCTCGGATTGCGGTGGAACTCGACTTATCCATGCCACTGGTCACCCGTATCCGGCTAGACGGGAAGTGGCAATACATCGAATATGAAAATCTGCCAACGCTGTGCTTCGACTGTGGCAAGATAGGACATACAACGGATACATGCCCAAGGACGGCGGTAGCGGCAAAACTCCCGATCACCGGAAACACGACAACGGCGCAGGATCAACACACGGACACACAGCCGGAAGAGAAGGTAGGGTTCGGCCCGTGGATGCAAGTCACGCGCCGATCCAGACGGGGAAACCGAGGCACCGAGAAAGGAAATTCAAGCAACAATCAGGGAGATCTCCCCGGAAGTGGAAAGTCTGGGAAAGGAAAGCCTAATACAAAAGAAGCAGAGAATCCCGTGGGAAGTAAAAATGGTAAGAGGGAGGAGAATAGTCAGCGGATGGAACCGCAACGGCAATATAACCATGGAAAAGGAAAGACAGAGGCAATTGGATCGGGGATTGTGCACGATAAATGGGGGAAGGAAGCTATGGAAGCTACTACAGGGGGGAAAGGGCTTCTCGGGCCCAGCCCGGGGTCTCTATCTACCTCAATGGAGAGGCCCAACAAAGACGCAGCCCAAGCCAAGAAGAAGGATACAAAAACTGGATCAGGAGTTGGCGGATCGTGCTCGGCGGGAAGCTCCTCAAAGCCGAAGCCCAATATCAGCCTGAAAAGCTCCAGCCCACCAGCTTCTAATACTATCACGGGCCCAAATGCAGTCACCATCCAGTTAGTCAATGTTACCCCACTAGACAGTCAGAAGGCGATGGAAGACTCCCAGGGAACTCCCTCGACGGCGACCAGGACCAAGAACAAGACAAACCAGAAAAAAGGAAAATCCAAGTCGCCAAAAAAGTTGCCGGGGACAGTCTCCTCGAAGGCCTTGCAGGTCTGGACTCCGATCAAGGACAAGAAATCGAAGAATAGATCTCGGTTGGCATCTCTAACTCTCCAAGAAATAGCTGCTTGGACGGGAGCGGCGCAGGGGGATCGTGGGGAGAGGAACGAGAGGCCGAGGTCGGAAGCATCTCAGTCGACAGGGACCAGCGGGGCAACGGATACAGCAGCTCCCATCTGAGCCGAACTGCAACCTTTTGATCTCTTTTCCCTCTTTCTCGCTTCCCTTTATTTTCCCATGTCTGTTACAAATTTTAATTTTAAAATTATGTCCTGGAATGTTGGAGGTGCTGGTAGCAGCGCCTTCATTAGAGCTCTGAAGTTTATGGTGACGAATCATAAGCCTAACATTTTGATTCTGTTGGAACCTCAGATCAACGGGGAGGTGGCGGACAGAGTGTGCGGAAAGATGGGGTTCCCCAATATCATGAGGGTTGAAGCTGAAGGGCGAAAGGGCGGCATATGGCTATGTTGGGACGCGAATTCTGCTTCGATGGAGCTAGTGTCAGCTTGTTTCCAACATTTAACAGTGCGAGTCTCAACGTCGGGAGTTATGCCTTGGCTCTTAACGGCGGTGTATGCCAGCCCCAGACAGGAGTTTCATCGCTTCCTTTGGCAGGCTATCTTTAGGTCTGGAAAAGAGTGGGACCTACCGCGACTCCTCACCGGAGATTTCAATGCAATTCGAAGTCCTTCGGAGCAAACAGGGCGGACCACTACTTCAACTTACCGTCGATGCAAAAGGTTTAGCGAGAGAATCGAGCAGGCTGGTCTCATTGACCTCGGATATTCAGGGCCCTGTTTCACCTGGACTAGAGGAGATCAGTCTACCACGTATAAAGCCAGCCGAATCGATAGGAGCTTGTGCAATACTACGTGGAACTCCGCCTTCCCCAACACTTTCGTCCAACATCTCCCTCGGATCCATTCAGACCACCACCCGATTCTTACCACGGTTAACAACCAGGGAGTTTCTACCTCTACCTCTCGACCTTTTCGCTTTGAGGGTGCCTGGCTAACTCATGATTCTTATGCTAATTTTTTGTCGAATAGTTGGGACTCTCAAGCTCCGCTTCAAGATGCTTTGAAGAAACTTGCTGGAAACTTGGTGGAGTGGAATCAGACCACTTTTGGCAACATTCTCCACAGGAAAAAGAGGCTTCTCGGCCGAATCCATGGCATTCAAACTAGGGTGGCGAATGGTTTCTCCCCCGGATTATACAAACTGCAGAAGAAGCTTGAGAAGGAGCTTGATGATGTGCTTGAACAGGAAGAGATCCTCTGGTACCAGAGGTCTAGAGAGAACTGGGTGAAATTCGGGGAGCGCAACACGGCTTACTTTCATCAGCAGGCGATCATTCGGAGGAGGAGAAACAGAATTGCAAGCCTGAAAGCCAGCAATGGAGAGTGGATTTCGGACCCTCAGGAGCTGGCAGCTCTGGTTTTTGACTTCTTTTCTCTTCTTTATTTGCAGGATGACCAGGACTATACTGATGGAATGCCTAGTCAAGCCTTCCCCAGATTAACTCAGGAAGAGATGCTCCTGCTCCTGCGGCCTTTTACCGGTGCTGACATCCAGAGGGCGGTTCAGGATATGAAGCCTTTTCAAGCACCTGGACCGGATGGGTTTCAAGCTATCTTTTTCCAGCGGTCCTGGCAGGTGGTGGGGAAAGCACTAATTGATTTGGCTATGGATTTCTTTTCCACAGGAGTGTTACCAGAGGAGGTGGTAGAATCAACTGTGGTGCTTATTCCCAAGGTGGATCATCCGGAGTTGGTTTCTCAGCTGCGCCCAATATCACTCAATAATGTGTGCCTGAAAGCCATCACCAAAGCGATCACGAACCGGCTCAAGCCTATTATGAGGAAATTTGTGTCACCTCGGCAAAGCAGCTTTATCCCGGGTCGCCAGACCACGGATAACATTATTGTTTTGCAGGAAGTGCTCCACTCGCTTAGGAAGAGGAAGGGAAAGAAAGGAGGAATGGTGCTGAAAATCGACCTTGAGAAGGCGTATGACCGGCTGAGATGGGAGTTCCTCAGAGATACCCTCAAGGAAGTTGGACTACCTAGCTCCTGGATAAATTGCATTATGTTTTGTGTGGAGCATAATAGGATGAGGCTGCTGTGGAATGGGGAGCTCTCTGCTCCAATCATCCCCTCCAGAGGGGTCCGTCAGGGGGATCCTCTCTCACCTTACCTTTTTGTCTTATGCATGGAGCGACTGTCCCACAGGATTGATCAAGCCATCCAGGACGGCCTCTGGAAGCCCCTGAGATTGTCCAAAAATGGTCCCTTGATATCTCACCTGTTCTTTGCAGATGATCTTATTCTGTTTGCAGAGACAGGAGGTAATCAGGTTCGGATAATCAAGCAATGCTTGGACGAGTTCTGTCACAGCTCGGGACAGAGAGTCAACTACAACAAGTCTGCGATCTTTGTTTCGGCCAATATTGACAGGCGGCGGGCTCGGAGGCTAGCCAGTAGAGCAGAGATCCCCCTCACGGTTGATATCGGGCGCTATCTAGGAGTGATGGCTATTCACGGGCGGGTGACCAAATCCAGATATCAAGACCTGATGTTAAGAATACAGAGGAAACTAGCTCCATGGAAGGCAAAGCACCTCTCACTAGCGGCCAGAATCACTGTGGTGAAGTCTATCTCTGCCTCGATTCCGATTTACCCTATGCAAACAGAACTGCTTCCTATGAATGTTTGCAGGTCTCTAGATCGAATCAACAGAAGCTTCATTTGGGGGGATACGGAAGCTAGAAAGAAGTTGCATTTAGTGGGATGGCCTCAACTGTTGAAGCCCAAGGACAAGGGGGGTCTTGGTATCCGGTCAACAAGGGAAGTGAATCTGTCTATGCTGGCAAAAGGAGGTTGGCGGATTTTACAAGAGAAGGACAACCTTTGGGTGCAGATGGTTAGAGCGAAGTATGGAGGAAACCGGGAGCACCTTGATCTCTTGAGGCCGGTTCAGGGAAGTTCCTTTACCTGGGCTAGTTTCACTAAAGCAGCCGATTTACTTAAAAAAGGCTGTGCCTGGAACATCCATAGAGAGAACCAAACTAAATTCTGGATGGGCATTTGGCTTTTGCAGGTTCCACTTCATGAGCTGGCTACGGACACGATTCCAGAGGATGATCGGATGGCTGCCGTGGCGGATTTCGTGGATGAGGAAGGAAATTGGCGCGTTGAGAAGTTCGAGAATTTGCTTCCACAGGAGATTCAGCAGCTAATCACTGCCCATGCGGTGGATCCTCTCTCATTGGAAAATGACAGGCTGTTTTGGAGCCCAACTACAGATGGAAGATTCTCCACGCGGAGCGCTTATCAACTACTCCAGCCCGGGAGTTCAGGTGATCATCAACGCACTTGGAAAGCAGTGTGGAGACTGCAGGTGCCAGAGAGAGTGCGATGCTTCATCTGGCTGGTGGCTCAGGAAAAGATAAGCTCCAATGAATTCCGTACGCGTCGCCATCTGGCCCAGGATGGAGCTTGTTATAGGTGTGAGAATCAGTTGGAGAATCTGGATCATATTTTCAGACGATGCCCTCCGGCGGCCTTCCTTTGGCATCGCACGGTTCCCAGCGAAGATCAGACTGAGTTCTTTAGCTGGGAATGGGAAGAGTGGCTGGAACGAAACCTCACGAGTAAGAAGACGACGAGTTCGGGACTCTCTTGGGATAGCTTTTTCAGCATAGCTCTCTGGTGCCTGTGGAAGAACAAAAATGAGGGGACTTTTGAAGGTTTGAGCACGACCTTATCTGCCCCATCTCTCATGCAGTCGATTATGATCAGGGCGGAGCTTTGGACTCAAGCTTGGAACGCGCCATCACCACTAATGGCGCGTGGTGTAAGTACTCCTAGTCGCACCATGACAGAGATTGGGTGGAAACCTCCACCAACAGGGTGGGTCAAGATCAACGTTTATGGAGCCGCGAGTGGAAGTCAGGGACCAGCAGAAGCGGGGGGCACGGTTCGAGACGCCAGCAGCGCTTGGCTCGGAGGTTTTGTTTCTAGCTTGGGAACTTGCTCGGCTGCTCTAGCAGAGCTTTGGGCTATTTATCATGGTCTGAAACTGGGGTGGAACCTTGGTCACAGGACACTCATTATTGAATCGGATTCTCAGGTGGCCATTCAGCTCGTGAACAACAGGTTGGACCCTCTACACCCCTATGCATCGATCCTTTCGGCGATTAGGAGGAAGATTGCTCAAGATTGGGTAGTGAGTCTTGTCCATACATATCGAGAAGGGAATAGAGTCGCGGACTGGCTCTCGAAGCACAGTCTCGTCTATCCCTACGGTATGTATGTACTGGATTCACCTCCACCAGAGCTCCTTCCTCTCCTTCAAGATGACTCCAATGGCGTTACTCTCCCAAGGAGTATTGTGAACCCCCTCAACTCTGTATCCGTCTGATCTCCCTTCTTCTTCTCCTTCTGTGGCTTCTAGCCTCCTGTTATGCAAAAAAAAAAAAAAAAATAATAATAATTAATGCTGGACTATCAAAAAATAATTAATGTTGGGTAAATTATAAGTTTGATCACTAAATTTACTAAAAAGTTTCAATTACGTTAACTTTATTTGATATGATAGTCAATATCCATAATTGATCGTTAAATGGTGACGTGAAATTTAAAAAACTATATAAATAAAAAATTAATCTATTAAACTTTTGACCTCATTTTCTCGAAAATAAAAATATCTAACCTAATTTTCCATCTCCCCCTTCGGCTCTCCCTCCCTGTTTCACTGTACTCGCTGGTCCACGACAAAGGAGTGATGTAATATCGAGTAATAAAATCCTGGGAGGTCTTAGGGTCGTATTCCACAAGGTCTTCTAATGTATAACTACTGATACCAAACCATTCAAAACTTACACGACAACTATAGAGAAACATTTAGGAATTTTCATTCAACAAACAAGCAAGGAATAGTAAAGAAGAAGGTGAACTCGAATACTATCATGCATACTATGTCATAACAAATTAGACTTAACAAATTTGTTGTATATTTCTTAATGAGTTATAAATATAATATACTCCTCTATTATATATATATATATATATGGGGAGTTCTACGGTACCCCGGGTGAAATCCGGGGTACCGCATACCTTAAGTAAGAAAACGCTATCTAGAACTTGAATTGACTGATCTTTCGGACATTATACTATACTCTAACCCATAAATATCAAAATCTAGTTCTTAATTCTCTAAATCTTATACCCCAAGAACAATTTAATTAGAAACAATAATCAACGGTTATGATTCGTCCAAATATAGGCAAAAAAAGTAATACACCATCTTAGGGTTTTTAGTTTATGATTTAGATGATTAGGACCTAGGGTTCACTCATTAAGGGTTAGAGTATAGTATCATGCCCAAAAATCCTGCTAATTCGAGGTCAAGATAGCGTTTTCATACTCAAGGTATGCGATACCCCGGATTTCACCCGGGGTATCGTAGAAGGCACTATATATATATATATGGTGGCGTATTCGGTGCACCCACTTTTTCGGGTGCACTCAGTGCACCCGCCTCATAATTATCATTCTGAGCATGCGATTCATATCAAAATGGTATCAATTGTAGCTTATGATATTATGAACAAGAAGCACATAAATTTGAAAAAAATTCATTCCAAATTCACTTTAATTCGAAGGATTTAGGATTAGGGATTTAGGGTTAGGGTTTAGGTTTACAATTTGGGATTTTGGGTTGGGATTCAAAATTGAAGGTTAAGGGGATAGGGTAATGGATTGATTTGTTATGATTCTATGTCATATCATCATATTATATTGAGAGTACTAATTAAAGTTCAAAATCGATGTATTATGGACGCTTTTAGAGTTGGGTGCACTGAGTGCACCCAAAAAAGTGAGTGCACCGAAGTAGCCACCATATATATATATAAGTAAGAACTCTATTATTACTAATGCATGCAATTTCAGTTTCCAAACATATTTTACTCAAATCTCTCTCGTTAAGGTGACATATAATTTGACATTGAGACGGACATGGCCCTGTTCATGAAGCGACACATGCTTCTCGATTTCTAGATGGACATGGCTCTCCTCGTTGAAGTGGCACATGCCTCTCCAGACTTAGAATATTTTTGTGCACCGGAGGGGGCCATGATCACGTGACTTGGGGAAGACTCCTTCTTACGTCAATGATGTCTCGTTGAGATGGCATGTGCCTCTATATTCTAGATGGACATGACCCTCCTCGTTGAAGCGACACGTCCTTCTCCATACTTAGTTTATTTTTATACAATCTCGTGGCATGGCATGGCCTCCTACGAGAGGCCCAAGTGTGTCATTAGATCATGTCCATGCTCATTATTACTTGGTGGCTTGGGCTTAAAATCAATATCTATAAGACCCAACTTAAGTAATATTAATTGTTATAATTGATGTGGCCTTATAAACTCATTATTTATCTTGTAACTCATCAATGTGGTACAATAAAATTTTATGGTGCAAACAGGTCCTCACCGGGATAAATATAATATGGATATTAATCACTCACTCCCGACGAGTAGGGTCAGGACAATTTGAAGCAATAGATGTGCATGCTCTTTCTCTCAATCCAAACGTCTTTTCACCATGATAGCAACCACTACGTCTACGGATTAGAGTTCACACATAAGTTGTCACCACTAACTCGTCAAGAGAACTTGATAAGGTCAAAATGTACTGGCTAGGGTCTAGGACACATGAATATATTTGTAGGTGGTGGTATTATTTCAAGCACAGGTTCCACAGTATCAAACCAAAAACCACATTAATAAAATAGTCAAAACAAGCTATCCTTCTCTGCTAATGTTGTTTTATCACTTTCTAAGCACAAGAGTATATGATGCGTATCTTCAAGCAACTTAATTACTTTGTGGCAACTCTCTTTTCTTGTTACTCTTCTTTTCTTTCTTTCTTTCTTTGATACCCTCACAAACTTGCCACATTTTCCATTTTGAAGAACATAATGCTCATCCTTTACCTCCTTCACTCACTTTGAATTTCAACACAATTATGTAAAACGACCATGTGGAACCTTAAAGAAACACAAGGGGATCTCTACGTACACAAAGAAGGGACTCATGGCTCAAGGGGGCTTACTAAGGGATAATATTAGCCAACCTCTAACTTCCCGTAAATAGTTTTGTTTGCAATGTTGACTTGGCAACATGATGTTGAGTTGAAAGAGATACGTGGTGATCCACTTTCCAAAAAAACATTTTATGCGAAATCAAAAAATAGCTTTAAAACCAGGCCACTTGCAGAGGAAACCCTGCAGCACCTCTCAAACGTTTACAACGCAGAAGACAAAACGTACAATCCGCTCCTATCTATATATTTACTGAATACTATCTAACTCTAACTGTAGGGCAGGATCTTCATATACTCGGTAGGTAACTTCCTCACGTATCAACTTCACCAACATAGCAGGATCTCTGATTACCTTAGTCCTATACATTCGAGAGCACCTCTCACGCCATATGTAGCTCACAGCAGTACACCACAACACTCTGCAAAGTCTCGATCGAGCAGCCTTCTTCTTCCATTCCCTTGCACACCAAGCAACTGTTGCTTCCCAGTCTCCTACATCTGGTGGAGAAAGACTTTTCATACAAAGCTTCAAAACAGAAAGTGAATAAGAACAATAAATCATTAAATGATCCCTGCTCTCTACACCCCCTGGACACAAAACACAGCAGCCAGAGACATTTTCCCCCCAGGCCAAGAGTTTATCCTGAGTAACCAATCTCCCATGGATAGCAAGCCACAAAATCAGTCCATGCTTAGGAATAATTTCCTTTGCCCAGACTAATCTCCACCACTGCACTTCTGGTTTTTTCTCCCTGATATCATTCCATACCCTGGACATTGAGAACTGTTTCATTTGCTCCCCCTGCCACAGAGTATTGCTCCCATTCCCAGAAACAAAAGGATAGGCTATTGCCTTGCATTTCAACAACCGTTTCCAAATCAATGTCCCAGCAGAACCAACTGAGAGTTCCCAGATGCTTCTGCCTTTCAGCCTATACCTTGAAATCCATGCAACCCAGATAGAACCCCCCAGAGTAAGAATCTCCCATAAATGTCTCAATACACATGCCTTGTTCCATACTCCAAAGTTCCTAATTCCAAGTCCACCCTCCTTTTTAGGAATAGACAACTTATCCCAAGCCATGACCCCTTTCTTTCTACTGCCATCCTCAGCAGAATCCCACAAAAACTCATTACACAATCTTCCCACCTCCTTTATAACAAATTGAGGCAGTAAGAAGATATTGAGCCAGTATTGAAGAGTACTAGTGATGACAGTTGATATGAGTTGTATTTTACCAGCATAGCTTAGCAGTTTTGATCTCCAGCTTCTCAGTTTTTGTGTTATCTTATCCACCAGCACTTTACAGTCTTGCCTAGTAAGTTTTCCTGTAATGAGTGGAACTCCCAAGTACCTCACAGGAAGTGTCCCTAGAGGGAATTCAGTAAATTCAGATATAGTAAGCATTTCTTCCTTTGGAATACCAGCACAGAAAAGCTGACATTTTGCTGGGTTGCACCTCAAACCAGATAGCTTATAAAAACTATCCATTAATCTTCTAATGCCAGCAACCCCTCTTATTGACCCATTGGTAAACATCATCAAGTCATCCGCAAAACACAAATGGGAAATCATAAGAGGTTTACAACGAGGATGATAAGGTATCTGGTTATCTACCATTGCTTTCTTAGTCAAACAATCTAGGGCTTCCATTGCAATTGTAAACATGTAGGGGGATAATGGATCCCCCTGCCTTAATCCTTTACCTGCCCTTATATTTCCACACAACCCTCCATTGACTGCAACTCTGATAGTTGGTGTGGTGACACAAGCAAAAATCAGTTTAAGAAACCCCTCTGGGAACCCCATTGCCTCCATAATACTGAACAAAAACTTCCAGTTTACTGAGTCAAAAGCCTTCATTATGTCAATCTTCACCACACACCTAGGAGTAATATTCTTCCTATGATAATCTCTAACCAATTCTGACACCAGTAAAATATTGTCACTTATAGACCTCCCTTTAATGAAAGTTGATTGAGATCTACTTATCACACTTGGGAGCACTAGGGCCAGTCTATTAGCTAACAGTTTTGAAATACCCTTATATAAGGTGTTGCAGCAAGCAATGGGTCTATAGTCTTTCATCTTTTCAGAACTAGGAATTTTAGCTACCAGTGTAAATATTGTACTATTCACATTAGAGGGCATAAATCCAGTAGAAAAGAAAGAAAGGACTACCTCTTAAACTTCAGTTCCAACAAGAGACCAGTGTGCTTTGTAAAATTCAGCTGGGAACCCATCTGGCCCAGGGGCCTTATCCTTGCCAAGGGAATGGAAAGTCTGCTTAATCTCTGCCTTTGTAATACCTCTCATCAGTTTATTCTTTTCATCCTCAGACAGCCTGTGATAGTAAGACTCTTCCTTTGCCTCCACATTAGAATCCTCAACTCCAATTAACTGTTCATAAAACTCAACTGCAATCTTGCCAATACTCTGCACATCAGTTTTAATTTCACCCCTGTCATTCACTCATTCTGCATTCGAGCAATCTGCTGCCTTTGAGTTTTAACTTTTACAGTTTTATGAAAGTAAGCAGTATTCATGTCCCCTTCCTATATAGCTTGAGTTCTTGCTTTCTGCCTATAGTATTGTTCTTCTGCCTTTCTAAGCTCAATATACTCCATACACAACTGTTTTTCCCTTGCCACTGATTCTGCTTTGGGGTTAAGTAAAACTTCATGTTGAGCAGATTCCAGAACAACTGCTGCCGCCTTCACTCTGTTGGAAATGTCTGAATAAACTGTTCTGTTTAATCGCTTCAGAGCCTGCTTCACACTATGGAGCTTCCCATAAAAAATATATGAAGGATACCCCTCTACCTGCTTTTTCCAAGCTTGCTCTACAAGATTCACATAGTTAGGGTGAGCCTGCCAGAAGGTGAAGTATTTGAACGGTTTAGGAAGTATTTTCAGTCCAGGTTCAGTATCCAATATCAACCCACAATGATCTGATATACCAGGAGGATTTGTGTAAGATGAACTTTCCTTATATTTCTCCTTCGAGCTATAGGATTAGCCTGCTGCTTATTCCACCAAGTAAACCAGCTTTCTGACACCTTATGATCGATCAGTTCCATATCCCTAATCCAACCCCTAAAATCCTGCATACTCTGAGTAATCTCCTGCACATTTGAAGTTTCATTAATCTCAGCAATGGCATTAAAGTCCCCCATGAAAACCATAGGAATACTTGCATCTCTTCTAAGTAGTAACTCTTGATAAAGCCTATTCCTCTCCACCTCTTTATCTGGACTGTAAACAAAAACTACTATGAAAGGTTCAGCATCCTCTATCAGAAGCTGTAAATAATGCTCCCCTTCATTAATTCGAGTAACCTTCAGACCTGCCCTCCAGAAAATCCAAACTCTACCTGATTTAGAAGTATCATAGTTATCAGTATGTTGCCAAGCAGAAAAAACACCTTCAATTATTTTCTTACTATTCTCTTTAGTAACTCTAGTTTCCAGTAAACCTACAATATCTATTCTTCTCACCCTCAACTGCTCAAGAACAGCTGAGTGCTTGTCAGAGGAGTTGAATCCCCTGACATTCCAACTGAGTAATTTCATTTACCTCTCTTCCTCCCCCTACCTCTCCCTTTAGGAGGAGATGGAGGACAATTCAATACTGGCCTAGTTCCAATACTGGCACGATGCTGACTCCCTAAACTTCTAACATTATAGTTTGGAATCTCTTTGCTGCCGGACCCAGTGCCTACCCATATCTTCTGCTTCTGCTTCCTGTTGACAACTAGAGTAAAACCATCCTTGTCCACTAATCCACTTCTTGGAGAAGGAGTTTGTGCCCCCATTGTGGTAGCAATCTCTTTCCCTGCCCTGTGCTCTAACACAACATCAGCAACCTCTTGCTCCTTATTCTGAGTTGCTAATCCCTCAGTCTCTGAACTCATGCTCGTACTCACCACTTCTTGAATCTCTACTGATACCTGCTTAGTTGGAGCTTCACCTATCAACGGATTCTGCTTCACCCATACTTTCTGCGGTTCTTCTACTATCTTAGCACAACTATGCCCAAAACAGCCACACTTCTCACAAACCTTTGGCATATGGCAGTACACCACATCCATAAAGAGCTCTGGCAATCCATCAGGTGTTACACTCAATTTCGTGATCTTCTTAGCTGTAGCCTTGACCTCTACACAGATTTGAGCAAAACCCACTTTATGACCCTGAGTAGTAGTAGATTTATTATTTTAACTAATAATAGATTTACAAAATTGTTGATGGTAACAGACAAATGACTAATGTTTTGATGCATTATAAAAATCTGGCTAATATTTTATATTTTGAAACATTTGACTAATAATTTGAAAAGTCTAAAATAACGTCTAATAAATTGTATTTAACCAATAAATAATTTCAGCATTATTGGAAGAAAAATTAATTTGAACATCTTTGCCGAGGGATAGTCCAAGCTTCACAAATTATCAATTGATAATCACCCATATATATATGGTGGCTTCTATCGTACCTTGGGTAAAATCTAGGGTACGACATACCATGAGTAAGAAAATGCTATATAGACCTTGAATTAACTGGATTTTTGGGCATGATACTATACCCTAACCCTTGATGAGTGAACCCTAGGTCTTAGTTTTCTAAATCAAAAAGCCTAATCCCTAAGTTTGTGCCTGTAATTTGTTGCATATATTTCGACAAATCATAGTCGTTGATTTTTGTTTCTAATTAAAATGATCTTATTGTATGAGATTTATAAAACTATGACCTAGATTTTAATCCTTAAGGGTTTGTGAATAATATCAGAGCCAAACTATGCTCAATTCGAGGTCTAGATATTATTTTCTTATTATCTTACCCTTGATTTTACCCAAGGTCTAGATATATATTGTTTGAGGCAATTATACTGAATATTTTGGTTGACAACTTTTCAAATAAATCCTAAATCGAGAGTTTATAAACCATAATTTCAAAAGTAAAATATTGTTTTTGTAGAACTCCATAGAGAGCAAGAATCAAGACTGGATAAATGAACTATCATCCGTGGGGTGCCAAAGGTTTTAAATTTTTATTACAAACATATTATAGATTTTTTTTATAGATTTAGTTAAAAGTTAATATTTTCAATTGAGAGTTAGAAAGTTTTGACTTGAAAACATATATCACATACTCGAAAGAGTAAATATCATTGATAAAGTATTGAGTGATTAATGAATATATATTAGCCTCTATATATTGGATGAAGCTCTCATAAAGCTTCATGATGATCACACACAATATTAACTAATATATTTTTTTAGTAACGTATATAAAAATATTAGCAATCAATTTAGGGGTCGTTTGGAGAACGGGATTTAGGGTATGGATTCATTTAATCCATAGATTTTGTAGAAAGTTATGTTTTTTTTTGTTGCTTTTGTATTATGGATTTTAGATTTAGAGATTTCAAATCTCTAAAATCTACGGATATCAAATCTCTTATAATCAGAGAGATTCTATATCTTAATTCGTGAGATTTTTTTCTCCTGTTTTTTCTCTTTCTTTTATTTATTTATCATATTAAATATATTTATAAAAAAACTTTTTAATATTTATTGAACCAATCTAATTTTTTATTAAGAATAAACACATTATTTAATATAAAATTAAATTTTTTATTTTCACTGAATGTTAACAATCACAGTTACCAAACGATAAATATTTTAAAATCTATTTTCAAAAATTCGAAAAATTAGAATTTTTAGATTGTTGACAATCTATAGATTTAAACTTACACCGTACAAACGACCAACTTAGTGTAAATGTTGTATATCTTCTTGAACTTTTTATCTTAGAACTTATTTTAAAAATAAAATATAAGTGAACAGACCAATCAGCCGGCTGGAAAGCTGGTTGATTGGAGGAGTATTGTAAAAGTTCGGGCCACCCGCGGGTGAGCGGGGTTTAAAGTTAGTAGAATACCATATTAGCACCGGAGCTCCATCTTTCGCCCTGCCAGTGACGCAAAAACCCCCTGAAGTTTCTCAAAACCCTAGAAAAATCATATTCCGTCCACCCTAAAAAATCTGCTCCAAACCTCGCTGACTGGCTCGATCGAGCGAATACAGTGTTAGCTTACTTCAGCGGGGCAGCTCGCCGAGCGATTTCAGGAGCCAAGTCGCTGCTTTGAAACCCTCGAGGAGAAACTCTGTTGAGCATAGTGTTGGGTCAACAGGGGAGAATTAGGGTTTTCCGTTCTCCAGTAAGTGCATCCGGGAGACGGCGGTTGACGAGGTCTGCCGGGGAAGCCATCGCCATGGGTCCAATTCAGAACTTCGAGCAGCATTCTCGTCACCTCGTGGAGCCTGATATCCGTAACCATCTGTCTCACTGTCATTACGTCTCATTTTGTGGGCAATTTATTGGATAGTTCTCATACCGATGCATTTGATCGTCTGTTTATTTGTTTTCCCATTTTGGCAACAATGAAGATTATTTGAATTGAATAACTAACACTGTGAAATTTATGATCACTACGTATGTAAAATCTTACTCGAATTTGCTTTACTTCCAAACAGCAATGCAAACGAGGCTTCAGATGGCGATGGAAGTGCGCGACAGTCTCGAGATTGCACACACTCCAGAGTACTTGAACTTCTTGAAGTGCTATTTCCGTGCATTCTCAGCCATTCTCTTACAAATTACCAGCCCCCA